TAGGGTTGCGGGTTGGGGGGGGGGGGGGGAATTGATATAAGTAACAGTACCCAGATTATATTTCCCTTCACAACTAAACAAGAAAGTATTTTTCTACCAAGAGATTAAACAATAGAGAAAAGGTGAAATATGCTGGCAGTTCCATTTATGAAGAGAACAAAATAACTCTCAGTTTAAAATTTTTTATCCAGACAATGAACACAGCAGTCGAAAGAAAAAGTGGAGTTGCTTAAAGCAATCAAACAGTTATCAATTTTTAAATTTTTCACCACCATAAGGGAGATGTGGGAAGAACCATTACAACAATTCAACCTGGAAATGAGAAATTATTTTGAAAGTTAATAGTCCTTGGATATGTGGAAATACCTCATCCCCTGGGGAACAAACTGCAAGCACTGCCTGAACAATACTTTGTTTTGCCCCATTGCTTACCAAAATCTGATCAGGCGTGTAAGATAGCCCATTCTCCTCTAAATCAAGAAATTAGATCAGAACAGCAAATAGAAAAAAAAATCTCTGTAAAAAACATCAACTAGAGAAACTAGTACCTTTTAGCTTATGACAAATAGCTGACCGAAGTTCCATAGTACCTGCATTTGGTGTATACCTGGTATGACCTTCACGAATTGCATTTATCCCAGCCTGAAAAAGTAAAGCAAATATAGTAGTACAGAAGAAGTATAACATTTGATTTCCTCAGAATAGGTGCAGATCAGGTTCCATGATCATGAAATACTACCTCTGCTATAGGAGCTGGAGTGTCAAAATCAGGTTCACCAGCTGCTAATCGGATAACAGGTACACCAGCTTGCACAAGAGCAGTTGCCTGATCAGTTATAGCAACCGTTTTTGAGGGTTTTACTGAATTTACCCTAGGGCTGAGCGAGATATCAACCTCAACTCTGTCCATGCTCTGTGTTATGACAACTGCACCTGTTCTACGTGAGTATAGCTGTTTCTTTGACACTGAAGATCTGTCCAAGAAGTACATATAAACAAATTCTCTAATTCAGCAAAAACATCTAGGTGGAGCCGTGGAGTATTTCCTACTGAATTCTTATCATAGGTCAATGACACTCTCCCTATGTCAAATTTTGTCTAACATTAGACCACTCATCTAATTTAGTTTAAGTTAATTTCTCCTTTAATTTGAGTAAACTTTATAACCTTAAGTTACTATAAACCTTGAACTTCAAACTTGAAAAAACTAAACATCTAGATAAAACACAATCTGATTATTCAGTTAGAATTTAGAAATGGAAGGTTACAACAAAATTTCAGAGAGAGAGAGAGAGAGTAATATTTCTAATTTGACAAAACATATAAGTTATGCAAAATAAAAGTTTGTAATCCATAAGCATATCATTATTCGATTGGCTAATAAAAAGAGTTAAAAAGATACACCTATACTTAGTAATACTGAGAAGATAATCAATCTATAAGATAGTTTGCACATAATAAAGAAAATTACATCTCTTTTGCTTCAGAAGAGACTAAAAAGATTATTTTGATACTTGATGCCTCCCAAATGAGTTAAAGCAAAGCCAAGGAATTGAAAGAGAGAGGTGGCAGGGAAGATAGGGTATGTTATCGACTTGCAACCTTAGGCTTTCTTCTGATTAAAATATTTGATGAAAGAAACTACAACTACTTTAACCCAAAGTAGTTTTAAAATCCGTGAGTACACATAACTAAATCAATCATCAGATAATTTTACTCACTTACTTTCACATTATGGATCATCAGCTTAAAACATAAAGCTCAACCATTAAGGGAAATGGCTACATCAATAAGAGACTTACAACTTCCACATTCCCAGCATTCTCAAATAAAGATATGCCATCCTCATTTCTAGCACAAGGGGAAAATCAGAGACCTAAGACATTCACAAAAATTGGAATAGACTCCTAACCCTACAAAAAGGAATCTCTACAGCATAAAAATCGAAGCTCTCACCATTCCAATCATTTTTAAGTCCAAAAGCATGCAATTAAAGATTCTTTGAATTGAGGTAATAGCAATTAAAAATGAAGAAACAAAAAGGGTAAAAAGAATTACTTGAGAGAGAGACCGTGAATGTTAGAAGAGAAAGAGATAGAAGCGGGGTTGAATGAATCAGAATAAAGTCCAGGAGGAATGGTTGGTGTTGAACCAATTCTTGAGGAAGATGCGGTAGTAGTAGCAGTAGCCATTTGGTGGAATGTATATCCAATTTCAATGTTGGGTTTTGAATTGATGATTCCATTGCATTTTTATATATAGTGAGAAAGGAGGGGTTGGTAAGTGTAGTAGTTGTCGGAGGCTGTGGAAATTGATATTTGCCTACTTTGCTCTCCTTTGGTTGGTGAAGTTGTTTCTCTTTTCTTTTCTCATTTGCTTTCTGTTTTTGTTAGAGTATTGAGAAATTTTTATAAAGCATTATCTTTTAGTGTTAATTAGCTATCTATAGATACCATTTGCTATATTACGCCCTGCAGGTACGTTTTAAGTTTTTATAAGATGTATTTGATATATTTAAACTACTGTATTCATGAATACAATAGGAAAAATAGGCGTGAATCATGGAAGTCCACCTAATCAGTTGTTGTATTCAACTATATTCAAGAGTTGTATCATTGAATACTGTAACGTATATTCCTTATAAAAGGGACATTTCAACTGATTTAAAACGGAGAGGAAATCAATCTAGCAAATAGTCTCCTAATATAACTCAACTAACACAATTATATCACCCATAATCTCTATTTGTCCCTTCTTTAAAGATTTTCCATCCGAAAGTATAAAAAACAGAGCAAATCGTGGATTCTCAATTCTCCCTTCTTTCTTTTCAGTTCCTTTGTTACAGTTCGTACAAAACAAATTTCAACCAAGAAAACTCGAGATTGATACAATTATATACAGAAATACGTTGAAATTCGATTTTGCATATGACTACATCAATGTACCCCTAAATCACATGAATTTTGTTCCATGGAGTTATTTTTTCCGTTAAATTTAGTTATGGATTTAAATTTACTTATGTCTGTGTAGATTCCTAATGAAGTTGAATAATGAGACGATCTCCATTGAGCTCAAGAATGGCACCATTGTTCATGGAACTATTACAGGTATCTCTTTTTTTTCCCCTACTCAGTCTCTCCATTGTGCGTTTTTTATTGATTATGTATTAATAATACATGTGTTGTTGTGGAGCATTACGCTAGTACAGAAGAATTGAATGTAAAATCAAATCGTATGTATATGTATTTAGCTGTATTTGTGAAAGGTTACTTGACCTTCACTGTTGTTCTTTTTTATTTTTTATGTATTAATAATACATGTATTCTTGTGGAATACGGTGGCTCTAACTGTTTCTTATTAAATGTATTTGTTGTATTAAAAATGTATGCTTATAAGTATAGGTGTATTCAGACATGTTTAAATGTATAACAGTGTATATATGTTTGTGTTGTATACTACTCTCTCTCTCTCTCTCTCTCTCTCTCTCTCTCTCTCTCTCTCTCTCTCTATATATATATATATATATATATATATATATATATATATATATATATATATATATAGATGCAATAATATATTCAAATGTAGGTAGTGCCATCGACTGAATAATTTGCATACAGTGAACGATGAAGGAAGGCATTACACCGTATGCCTCTTAGAGAGAAAATGCAGTTGTGGGCAGTTTCAAGTCGACGATTTACCGTGCCCACACGCTTGGGCTGTCCTGAAGAGCAAGTTTCTAATTCCAGAAGATTATCGCTCTGATTATTACAAACCAAAGTCTGTTGTAATGACATATAAGGTGCCCGTGTATCCTTTGCCGGACCGCATAGAATGGAATATACCAGCACATATAGCAGATGAAGTTGTATTACCACCCAAATGGAAAAGACCTCCGGGAAGACCAAAGAAGAAGCGTGATAAGCCGTTTACTGAATTGCTGCAGAAGAAAAATCAACATTCGTGTAGCATATGTGGGCAGGAAGGACATAATAAGCGTACTTGTAGAAATTCTCCACTAGAAATTAGTTCACATTCTGACTTGTATTAATGCAAAACGATTTGTTATTGGAACCGGTTTCATTTCGAATATATTTTGGATATACTTAGTTGGTGTATTAAAGCTGAATTCGTAATTAAAATACGACTATTATATTTTCATTACATCTGAATATAGATGAATAAAATCATTTAATACATATGATTACACTCGGTTATATACATAGGATATGATTGTATCATAGGAAATCAGAGATTGAATATGATTTCTGAATATTAAATACATGTATTCAAATACACCTGAATACATATTAATACAATCTGTTATACACGTATAGATGTCTAAATATGTATGGTACAAAGGTCTAAATAGACTTGAATACATATGCATATAAATGAATACAGATGAATAAAATCAGTTATATACATAAGACGTATTCAAAATACAGCTGAATATATATTAATGCAATACATTATATAAATAGGAAGGTCTAAATACACCTGCTGAAAATATGTGAACATACTCTGCTGAATATGTGAACATACTCTGCTGAATACATATAAATACAACTTAATGAATATAGATAAATATATCATGTTGAAATACAGATCAATACAATATGGTAAATTATAATATAAATGCAACCTGTCGACTTGTTATGAATGCAATAAGTTTGATAGAGAGTAATACAGTAAGTTGAATATTTGACTGATACATTAAGTTGAATACATATCAATACAACATGTTGCATACATATCAATACAAACTGTTGCAAACATACTTAAAAACAACAGGTTGAAGCACAAAAACAGTCAATACATTGATTGGATGCTTGAAATGATAGTATATAAACACTGTTGATACGGTCAATAAATTAAACAAAAATTTGCTAAACTAACACCATCTTTACCAACACACTATCCAAAAAAACAATATTCACAAAAACTCCCATCGAAAACTACATTCACCTAAGACTACTCTATCTTAACCGACGTATCAGAATCAATGATGTGCCTAAAAATCTTTGAAGGTGCTTCGCTCTCGCTTATGGCATCAGCGTCTATCTTCCGCATAGCATAGTCCCAAAGGAGGGCACCATATCTTTGACAGAGTAAATTGGCATCAAATTTTGTTTGTGGAACCAAATCAACGGTGCTCAGAAAAGAGTTATGCCGCGACATGCACCCCACAATCCCTGAAAGAATACATTAAAACAGTTACAAACAAGAATTTAAAAAAGGTTTCATATTCATCATCAATACATAAAGTCATTAAGTGTTATGAATACAACTAGATACAATTAAATATTAAAATACATATTCATACCATTGAGTACAAAACAGTAAATATCTACGATACAATATGCAAGGAAATCTGTAATAAGTACGGAAACACAGTGAATGTAAATTTGAATACATCTAAATACATTTAAATACAACATATAATAACTAAGTAAGCACAACTCAGTGAATGACATTGTAAATGTGCAAATGAGTTCTGGATTGTTTAAATACTTATGAATACAACTAAATACATACGAATACATCAACATACATATAAATCACATGAATAAATATGACTACATCAATGTACCCTGAACCAGTTGAACAACTTTGAAAGCATATTGATACAATAACAATTACATTTTCTTGCCGTGTATCCAAGCTTTTTTTTGCATCAACTTCCTTAAACTTGACACATGAAGAATCGTTTATAGGTTTTTTCCTCTTTTTTCGCAACTAGAATTTTTGTTTCTTTTAAGGATTTCTCAACTTGGACTTCTTTCGATTTGTCATTGTGTAATTTAGTTCTTCTCTCTGAAGTTGTAGTTGTTGATACACCTGCAAATTCCGACTCCGCTTGAGTTATTTGCAACGAGAAAGTGGGCCCATCAAAATTGAGAATTTTGGTGGGTATACCTCTGGTTACCATCCCGTGTGACGACGAATCCGACATTGGAGAGAAAAACGATAGCTATCTGTTGAGTAAACAATAACAATGGCTATTGTTTAAGAAGCAAACAAAAATCTGTATCAAAATCTAAGAAGCTAAATACTTACCGCAAAAACTTGTAGCAGGAAATAAAACCACGATTTTAGAGAGAAACTAACTGGGGAGTGATAATGGGGGAGACCTAGCGAATTTGGGGGGGGGGGAGAAGAAGTCTGAAATGTGGTTTTGTGGGAGAAGAGAGTAAAGTGTATGAAGAGAGAGAGAGAGAGAGAGAGAGAGAGAGAGAGAGAGAGAGAACGTGGTTTGTGAATTTTATCGTGATTATGTGAGAGAAAATCTGAAAAAGGAGAGAGAAAAATATTAATTAGCGTATATGGTGCCTTAAGTATAGGATGTATCCATAATTAAATATTTTGCTATAAAGGGTGAAAGGTAGCTATATAATATAATTTTTTAAAATGATATTTATTTAAAATAAATCGGGTATTAAGCTTTTCTATAGGGTGTAAAAATTCCTTATTGATATGAGCTTGCTGTAAATAATTATTGTCTTAAAAAAACATTATATCAATTAGTATACAATTCAAGTTGAGGATAAAATTTGACGTTGCATTCGTTACTTGGAGAAATGATACACCCGCAAATATTTATTCACTTTAGGTGACAAAAATATATGATATTGTCTTCACACAAAATGTCATCACTAAATTAGTACTCAATAAATATATATTTTTTTGCTTTAATTATTATTTAATTATGATAAACTAATATAATTTGGTGTAATATTCTGAGGCCAATTATCTTTTACCATTGCCACGCTTGTTCCTCAAATGAAGTTGGTTAACTTTCATTTACCTTTTTTCCCAGTCTTTTGATTTGTGCTACTTTTCTTTTACTCTTTGTGTTTACCAACTCTTTCGAAGAAACAAGTGTGCATAAGAGGAAAACAATTTGTCAACCAAAGTTAACAAAAGAAAAATTAGTACTGCCAATTTAAATTAATAAATTCGTTTGTCTTTTGATTTAGTTCATTAATTCATTTTGGTCAATTTTTGTGACGAAATTAGAGTTAAAAAAGGCAAAATGTTCTAAACGTAGGAACATATATAACATCAATTATTAAAAGCAATACCAAATAGAGTACAGTCGCTGAGAATATAGAACGAAGGGAGAGCAATAAAAGTTTCTTATCTTTTTCCTTCTATTCATATTATCAAAAGTCTATGCGCGGACTGCAAGGTCATCTCGAGTGAGAACCTCATGACTAGCATAGGCTCCTGGTCATGAATTTGGAGATTATGAGTAAGCGAAGAAAGATGGTTGTGTATGGTTCTCTTAGAATCAAGTGCGGAGCTTTGACTAAAGTTAGAGTCTAAGAGTTGGGGGATAAGTTGATGGATATGGGGCATGGAGGA